AAATACATAGTACTTTATATTTCGATAAAAAACGTGCTGATTGTTTTTCTTTGCGATTAGAAATTTTGCTTACTCAGATATATAATACAAAAATTTTTCTGTCTAGAGTCTGGGCAAAGTATGTACACTTGTTTGTTTTTGTTGTATTTAACAACGTAAGTATGGCAGCAACCTTTGTTTGTTGGTATTTATGTATGTGCACTTGTGTGGTCAGACAACAAGGTCAGAGATAAGGCCATTAGCGCCTACTATTTATTAAGGCTGCCGCTATTGGGCTCTCTAGTTCGATAAATTATGTAACTATGTAGTTTCCACAGAAAAATGATATATATTCGTTAAACGATAAGTCTCTATATAAAAAAAAAAAATTATTTCATACATATCGAGCCCTAACCGCCAAAATAACGTAAGCGACAGTTTTTTCAAAATTTTCTTTTTGATGCAGAAATGCATCTAGATGCTCTAGAAATATTTCTGCATCAAAAAGAAAATTTTGAAAAAATGACGCTTATGTTATTTTGGCGGTTAGGGCTCGATATGTATATTTACAAGTTCCATTATTATTTCTTATATTGCTGCTACGACACGAAGAATAGACTGAAATATGCAGAACTGACCCACCTGGCCAGCTCGTCGGCCATTTTGTTGTCATGAATGTTCCAATGCATCGTTATGTCTCTTAGCTAAGGTCTTAACGTACCCCTAACTTTCTTATTTGGGCTAGAGGTGATACTTACGAACAGAGCTAAGCGCCTTCATTACCACCCGGCTATACAAGAGAATAGCAATGCTTGCTCTGGTCTATTCTGTGGCACACATTTTTTTATTCGCCTCTCTGATAGCAAGCTTTTCTGCTTGAAATACCCTAACCGAATTTAGTAGTCGAATAGACTTTTCGATTTGGAGTTCAGTTGAAACTTAATGTGTAAACCATCAATTTTCGAAGCAGTATCCTTCCACTCTTTCGTTCGGTTTGTCTCATGCAGTTGCAATGACACTAGCGGGTTAATTTGTAATTTGTTTGTCTAGTGGGTCGCCTTATCTTGTGCTCTCTTTTGATATCCCTCCCAAATTATTCAGTGATAATAATGATATCCGAATGTAATTTTTTTGGAAGACTTTAACCAGTTTATACGATGTATTTCCCAACTAAGTCAGAGTTGCCGAAGTAATTTCATTACTTTCCTCTTTGTTTGTCCCTTCTTGACTTTGTGTCCCTTCTTAACCTAGCTTAGCTATTATTACTACTGCAATATCATCTGCATAACTTATACTTCGTTTTCATTTTAAAGAAGATATTTGATGTGATTTATAATAAATAATTCGGTAGATCGCTGGTTGGCTCTTTAGTCTCCATGAAGGCCGCTAAGTTCACTAGGGTTTCATTCCTTGATCTTCTGGTATTAATAGTTCAAAACAAAAAATTTCATGATTTCTTCCTTGACACTCTTCCAATCCCTTGTTGTGATCAAAAAGTACGGATCACGCGCATTTTGGCCTTTCTGTACCGGGACTGAGCCTTTCAGCACCATTATTTGCCGCTGAGAGCGACCTATAACTTGCCATTAGATAAGTTGTTGAAATTCATAATTACTGAAATCGATCTTAAAATATAGTCTTTTACTTTTCTGATCTGAGTTGACCAGACGACGATGGTATGTTGGACTTGAAGCATGGCCTTAGAGGGGTGTACTCTGTTGCAGCTCTTGGCTCTAAAGCAGGTCAATCAGCTGGTCTTGTGTGCTCCCGCGGGTAGAGAGTTTAGTACTGTAGGCCACATTACGTTCGGTATTTGCTATGCAGGCCTCTCGGTACGTTTAAATTTTGTAAGCTGCAAAGTCTTCTGTAAGCCATTGTATAAATGTTGGAGGCTACCGTAGCAACTACTAGTATTTGCCGTACTGAAAGTGTAAAGGAAAGGAGGAAAAACTTTGAACCTTTAACGAAAAAGTAAAATATGTAAACATACCTATGTTGAGCTCCTCGAGCTCATAGGCACAGATGTGTACTCTTAAAGTCTTAAATAAGTAACAATAAAAAAGATAACGAGGAATTTAACAATCACAGCTACTTATGCTTTATTGTTAAATATTGATAAACAACAAGGGCTTAGTATTTATATGAGGCACTAAGTAAATATGGACGCTGGCAACCAGACTGTTGTGTGTCATTGATAAGAAACTATTAGGTTTTTCCCTATTATATATGGAAATTTATGACACACATATGTACGTGCTTAGTGGTATCAGTTGAATTATGTATAATTGTTTAGTCTGTAATATTAAATAAATAATTTTAGTATATATTGCTTGCAACCACTAAATACTGGTTTAATAATAGCACACACCAATTAAAAATAGCAAAAAATGGGTACCTGGCTTTATGTGTGGTTATTTGAAAGAGTCGGCATTTACATAAGAAATATTTTGTGAAATGTTTATGATTGTAGGGTTGCCATATAAACATAAGCACTATTCAAATTAAGCGCCAAAAAGCAATGGTAGAAAAAAGTGTATTAATGGGGACTGTGATATGGGCGAAATGCCACATTTATACCAGTCATGCGGAATTTATTTAGAAAATACAGTGTCTCAAAAAAGTGTTGACATATTAGATTTTTTTAAATATTCACAATGCACTTAGATAGATAGATATGTAGATAAGAAAACGTGGATGTCAGAACAAGAAACACTGAGAACTAAAAGGTCTTTTGTTTATCTAAAGAGAATCCCACGGCTTCCCTAATGAGTCCTATATGACTTTTGCAATAAATTATTCTTTGTCTAGTCAAGGTCGTACAGTCGACAAAGAAAGTGTTCTGAAGTTTCCTCGTTAACAAGGCCTCCGGGCCTCCATTCGGATTCTCCGATAACAGCTATTCGGTGCATATGAATTCGTAGTTGCTTCTGTTCCGTTGGGTAACCAGAGAGTAGCCTAATGTCATTTCTGTTTAAGTGAATGATATGAGATCTATTGAAAGAGTAGCTGGCCTGTCTATCGCCACCTAACGCCTACCTGGACTTCTGCGAACAGAGTATTTCCACCCAGTAATAATGGTTCTTGAAGAGGACCAACTGAGATGACAGTTAAGGATCCTTTTTGCACCAACTCGTCAGTGACTTCCTTGTCTTCGCTCCCACGGTGGCCTGACACCCAGCAACTGTACTGTATTTTTTCTGCCATAATTTGAAGCACGTTAAGGCAGTCTTTAATAAGACTCCTGGCTCGGATGGCTGGTTGGCTCTATGAAAGATAAGTATATAGGCGTGTTACATAGTTTGGCGTAGGTTAGGATTGCTAAGAATTCAGTCTGGAATACCGTGGACATTTGTCCATGGGAATTGCGAGTTTGGTGCCGGGTCTATAGATAACTGCGCCTGCGCTGTCGTCTATTCCTGAACCGTCCTTGTATCAATTTACATATCTAGGATCAAGGGCAGCAGCTCATTCGCCCAATCTTTACGATCGCGTATTTTCACTTGGAACTTTGCATGTCTCCGACCCTGGCATCTTACCAAGAATACCTACACGAAACTTCTTCATTTAGAAGCAGTTGTTAGATAATGGAAGTTCCAGCTTCCGCGTGGCTGTTGCTTTCTGTAAAACAAATATGGAAATGAGAAGCGACTCCAAAGCCGCAGTAGAGCAAGGCGTTGCAGTATATTTGGCCGTGGTACTTATATCAGTTTTTTACAGTGTTTTCTGCCACCACGCTACGGACGCATGAGGTACAATCGGGCGGACGGGCATGCGGTAAAGCCACTCTATCAGCGACGTACATTCACTTTTCTTATTATAACGCTGAAAAATTACATACGATTTGCTTTGTGGTGCCATCTTTCGGTTTTGTAAATAGAAGATAGATATCAAAAATAAATTCGTCGCATCAAAAACTCTCTTAAAAACAGCTTGTTTTAAAGTTTGTGCGCTCGAAATTTACTTCAGTGCCATGCTCTAGTAGACTTCTTTTCTTAGAATTCTATATAAAATACGAATCTGCTAGGAAGGATGTCAAAAAAGGTCGTTGCATGCAAATTGTCGAGTCGTAATGCGTATACTTCAACTGAAAGTAATATTGCTCTTTCCGGGGACATGGTAAGGCATTTTTTGAACACTTTTTTAATTAATGAGACAAATTCCAAGAAGCACAAGTTTGTCAGACTTATCACAGTAATTAACCTTTAAACGAGATTCTAGTAGCATTTAATGCTCCTCCAATAAAAAGTAATTTTTTGGCACGCATGTTTTTTATGGCAATGACTAATGCGAGTAACCTTATCACTCCTTATACATATGTACATATGTATGAACGTATTTGCATTTGTACATAGTACATATCTGTATATCATGTAAATTAGATACACATATGGGTACATTAAGGTGCATCAGTCGCAACACAAAAAAGTCAGTACCGGTTTTCCTTTGGAATTATAAACTTTATTATATTTTCAGACTTTTCAGCTCAAGTATTTCGGAAAAATATTAGGATTTACGTGTGCTGGACTCATTTGAAATACCTCCAAAATTCGAGTTTTTTAATAAAATAAGTTTTTAAAAATATTTTTTTATAAGTGTAAAAATTGTATAAACGAAATTAAAATAATGAGAATCTTAATAGTTTTCCGAAATTATTTTGCGGAAGTCTTAAAATAAAATATAATAAATTTCGTAGTTCCGGTGAAAAAACGGCAACTTTTTTTAGTGATGCACCCTAATGTACATACATGCATATATACAAACTGCGTCGGCGAAAAAAATCTCATAATTTGGGTACGTAAATTAATTATAAATAAATAAATACTTACAAACATACAAGTGAATCTGTGCCTGAAATTCCTGTATTTGTTGCTAAATTTGGACATCACCTACGAAAGCAAAATATGTTGTTGTTTGAATTAATTTTTACTTGAATATGTTGCATTATAATTATGTATATATGTATGTATGTAGATAAGTGGCCAATTGCTCCAAATTAATGTTTGTTTAATTTTGCTATTTTTCTTTGCAGAATTTTACGTTGTTTACGTCACACAAAAGTGCCTGACGAATTTCATACAACGCCACAGGATGTGGAACAGCAATTCACCGAAGTGCGTAAATCGTTTCGTGAGGCTGTAAAAATTTTATTACTGGGTACAGCAGAATCCGGCAAGACCACTATAATTAAACAAATGCGTATATTGCACATAAATGGATATACAGATGAGTAAGTAAAATAGTTAGGTGAAATTAGAATAATAATTAATTTTATGGCCATTACGCTTTGCAATAGGTTTTATTTTTTGAAGTTAGAACTTTTTTATACCGATTCAGGTTCATTTGAAATTTGATAAAAACCCGACACCATGCGAGATTTCTCAGAAACGGTTGGAGGGATTTAGTTGGAGGGATTTAGTTGAAACATTTTAAATATTTATTTAAGAAAAAATAAATTAATTTTTGGCGTTTTTACGCCAAGCGGATTCACTAGTAGTTATTATATATAGTATAGTTAATTTTAGTAATTATAAATTTATAAATATTCCCTTGCTTATAGCTTTCTTTGAATGTTCTTTTTTTACAGAGAACGCTGTGATAAAATTCACGAAATCTATCAAAATATCCACGAATCCATGTATCAACTGGTGCAACATATGTCCATACTTGGCCTGCAATATCAGAGTATAGCAAGTCGGAAGTGTGCAGAATATATACTATCGATGGGAGATCAAGCACCAGAATATATGAATGAGGTGAGTTTTGGAATCTAATAAGGGAAAAAGAGTAGTAAAAAGTAAACGGTACGATTAGGTCAACAAAAGCTTGGTTACATTGAAACAATATTACGTGCCCAGACTGGGTTGCTTGATTATCTAATGTTAGTCCCATCGAGGATCTCTCGGGATAGGCGGCTCAAAATGTTAACGAAATTTTGTCCATTTTAAGTTTGTTCCGTCTTCTTCTCCAATTTGTGGCGTGCGCATTAATGTTGTCAAACAAATTGGGAGGGACCTTCAGTTGTACGCAGACTCCGAACGGTGATTGTATTTTTATGAGAAGCTGTTTTTATTGGCAGAAATATATTCGGACGCTGCCACTGTCTGCCCAGGGGTGACCGTTATGGGGAAAACACTGTTTTGTTTTGTTTGTTTATTTTTGATGTTGGTTGGAAAGTGGGCTCGAACCCAGGCCCTGCGTAATGGTAGCGCCCATTGCTAACCATTACACCACAGCCGCCTCATAGCACAAAGGTCTTAGAAAAATCCCTGTCATTCACTATTCGTATGAGCAAAACAGACGTGTGCCTTTTGAGAGATCCTTCGAAACTTCGGGCAGCGATTTTTTTTTTTACCATAGTTTTAATTGAGTTAATTATTAAGATTTGATCTTCTAAAAAAAAGTTTTAATTATTTAAATTTTTATTAGATTTAATTGTTTTAAAAGAGAAATATATTTTTTATCATTTCACAAAATTTTTGAAAACGTATTTGATTTCTTTTCTGTTTGTAACCGTCTTCTAAAAACAGCCTCAATCTCAATAAAAACTGTTGAGCTGTTGAGTTTCTTTTTTTTTTGTCTTTGTTTAATTTAATTTTCTATTGATTTTCAGATTTTCTTAAAAAAATTTTATTTCATTTATATTTTAGGTACTGTTTTCTTTTTTGGTTTAATTATTTTGCCCTTATATTGTAAATTGTGTTTTTTTTTTACAAAGAAAAATATATAATTTCATTAAATGTTTAGAAACGTATTTTATTCTTTTTGATATTTTTTAATTAAATGTTTTCTCATATTATATATTAATTTTCTTTATGGCTTTAGATTTTATTGTCTTAAAAAGAAAAAAGAAAAAAATATTATTTCAGTTTCTTTTAGTATTTAGCACCTTTTTTTTTATTTATATTTGTTGTTTTTTTAACTTATTTTTTTTTTAGTTTTTAGATTTTGTTTTAAAATTAAAAATATGTTTTTTTTAATTTAGTTGTATTTTAAATGCTATTTTCTTCTCTTTTGATTTAATTAGATTTCTTTTAATTTTTAGACTATATTGTTTTTAAATGATTTATTTTTTAATTTAATTTGTTTTTTTTTTAATATTTTTAATATTTTTTATTTTATTTTTACTTTATTTACTTTAATTTTATTATTTTCTTTTATTTATTAGCTCTTATGGTTTTAAAAAAAAAAAAAATATATATGTTTATAAATTGAATTTCACTAAAAAGAAAATTTATTGCTAAAAGGCGAACAGCATAACGCTAAGACCTCCTCGTTAGCAGATCTTTCAATTAATTTTTCGAAAGGCAGTAAAGAGCTTTCAAGATAGTAGCCAGAATTAACGATTTCCTTACGAAAGAAAGACGGTTGCCAGAGTTCCTCTGTTATTCTGCATATATATATTTCTCTGGTGAGAGCACAAATGACATTTGGCCAGAATTGCGCTGCTGGATACTTTTTACTGCAGACTTTAAACGAACGTACCTAATATGAGGATATTTTACATTTTGCACTAGCGATTGGATATGTTGCGTATCTGAAGGCATTTCATTTATCTTATTTAATTTTAGTTTTATTTTATTTTATATTTTTTCGATTAGTTTTATATTTTTTTGTGTTTTTTTTTTTTTTTTTTACTTAACAAATGTGCATGCATATGTGCATACACGTAAATTATTTATGTACGTCAAACTTTATCGTAAGTGGCCACTTAAGCTTTAAGATTTTGTTTGATGGCCAGAGCAAACATAAACACTTTGCTATCTGCTTACTGATTACGTCTTGCAAATTTAATTGCGATTCCATTAAAATTTTCCGAAATGTGTTGTCGAAAGAAAACTTATTCATTTTATAGTACTCTTAGATCGAGTTTTTGGTTCACTGGCAGTTAGACCAAGGTGGGTTGCATAGAGAGAAGAACTTAAAATTTAAAGACTCGGTTAGCAAAAGACTACATTTTTATCAAAAAAAGCTATTTATTTTTCAGTCTCAGAGCGTATGTATATATATGTAGTACATACTTGTTATGTTTATTGAAAAAATTTTCAGTGTTGAGTAATTTCTTTTACGATTCCCCCCCAAAAAACAGTACATTTAATAAATCTGTTTCCAATGAAAAATTCATATCCACATCTAAACATAAATAGTCCACAAAAATTGCTTAATTACTCAGCAAATTGCAAATATTAACTTTCAACAAAGTTACATTTGTATGATTCATGCAGGAGAGCTCTGCAGTGCCCACACGTATCGCCCTGCTGATATTAGATAAGCTTATCATGGCACACATGCATGTACCGAAGATGATTTTTTCAAGTGAATAGTTTTGTTAGCGATGGCCGAAGGCAGGTATAGTTGGAGATGGTTGCAGTTACTATTTACTGCAGTTCATTTAATATTCAGGCATTAACTAAAACTTACTTAGAGATATTTTTTTTTTATGGGGAAGTAAATATAAATAAAACTTTAGTTGGCGGCTGCATAGAAGTTATGTGACTTCCACTTATTACTACTACTCATATATCATTGACTCAGTCAAATATATTTATATACATATTTATATGTATTAAAATTTTATCTTTTCATATTGCAGGAATATTGCGATCACATTGTCACCTTGTGGAATGATGTGGGCATACGGACGTGTTTCGATCGTTCTAATGAGTTTCCATTGTTGGATAGCACGAAATAGTAAGTAATCCATTATTATTTAATATGGTTTCAGTAATAGTGATAGTGATAATTGGCGATAAAGTAAAAAAATACATACACATTTTAGGAAATTTATAGCATGCACATAATTTTTGGTGTAATATGAAAACGGGGCATAATTTTATGGCAGTTTAGAAACTGGACACACATTTGTTCATATACAAAATGGAAATAATTTCTTTGGTGAAAACTGGACAGCAATTGAAAATTTGACATAAACTTTTGGTAATATAAAACTGAACATCAATTTTTAATCGTTCAAGAAGTGAATTTTTTTTTTTGATAAACTGGGTAGTTATTTTTGGCAATTAAAAACTCGACATAAATTTTTGGTAATATAAAAACTAGACATATATTTTTATTCGTTAAAAAGGTGGTCATACATTCTTGGCCTTTCAAAAGCTGCACATGAATTTGTGGTCACCTAAAAATTGAACATAAAATATAAGTCATTTAAGAATGGGCAATACTTTTTTCGATAAATTAAAACTTGGCCATAAATTTTTGCCATTTTTGAAAAACGGAACGTAAATTTCAAATTATTTAAAAATTGGAAATAAGTTTTGGGTTATTAACAATTAAAAATTAAGCATACTTTTTTTATAATTTAAAACATGAACAATTTAGTTATAAGCTGCAACCAAAGTTTTGGTAATTTACAAACGGAACTTATTTTTTGGCGATTTTAAAAGTAAGAATATTTTATTTATTTTTTTTTACTTAAAATTGCCTTTAATTTTTTAGTAATCTCTAAACTGGAATAAAAAATTGGACATATTTTTATGTAATTTTGAAACTGCGCATGCAGATAGACATTTTTGGTATCTTATAAATTGGTTATTAATTTAGAATCATTTAAAAACTAATATAACTTTTTGGAGGTTTTAAAACTGGACATCATTTGTTTGGTCTTCTAAAAATATGTAGGCATATTTTTTATATAACGTGAGCCCATTCATGTCTAGTTTTTACTGCCCATTTTTTCCAACTTTTTTACATTCGATAGTGGTTGTATACTTCTTAGCGTTCACATTTTTATTCACTCTTTAGCGACATATGAACTTGTGCACTTTTATAACAATTAATTTTATACGTCCAGTTTTCAAATGGCCAAAAATATATGCCATAGTTTTAAATGACCATAAATTTATGTCTTCTTTTTCGCAATACCAAAAATTTAAGACAGGCTTAAACAAATTTTTTTTTTGGCATACCATAAAATTATGTCCAGCTTTTAAATGACACATAACTTTTGTCCTGTTTTTACTTTCCAGCAAAATTTCATCCAAATTGTTAATTACAATATTTCTTATACCATTTACTAATTTCTCTTCATTTTCCTTGCAGCTTCCTCGACAATTTCGAACGTCATCTCCGATCCCGACTACATACCCTCCACCGAGGATATACTCCATAGTCGTAAGATCACAACTGGCATACACCAGATCACCTTCAAGGTGAAGGTGCCTCGCACTATGGGCGGTGGCGTGCAGGAGTTTCGTATGTACGATGTTGGTGGCCAGCGTGATCAGCGCAACAAGTGGATACAGGTCTTCGAGGGCATACAAGCTGTACTCTTTCTCATCTCCTGCGGCGATTTCGATCAGAGTCTACGTCGAGGATCCACGCCAAAATCGGCTGCAAGAGGCGCTCAATCTCTTTCGTAGCGTTTGGCAAAATCGCTTTCTCGCCTCGGCCGGCTTCATTGTGTTCCTGAATAAGCAGGACGTGATGGAGCGTAAGATACGCGCTGGCAAGCATATTGTGGATTATTTTCCAGATTTTGAAGATTTTTGTAATTCACCACAAGATCGTAATTATTTTGATGAAACTGATTGGACGAAACGTTTCATTCAACAGAAACTGATGGATATCACACGCGAGCCATTCAAGCGTAATTCTCGAAATAATATTGACTATTCGCGGCGGGAATGCTACTATCATTTTACCATCGCTACGGATACGAGTTGTGTGCGGAAAGTTTTCAACGAGTACATCAAATGATTCTGCATCAGAATATGAAGATGATGGGACTGTTATGATGAGACTGTACTATATGTATTTATGTATGTGTATCGAAACGAATATGAGTTCGTGCAGTGAAAATATGTAATAACTAGTGTATTAGTAAGATTAATTAGCAAAGTATTTACATAGCCTATACATTCAGTGTTAAGTATTTGTATAGTGGGTATTTTCCGATAGCTTTATGTCCGAGCCGAATCTATGAATTTGTTGTTAAGCTAACTTAGTAAATTCCTATTCTGGAACTGTGATTTAAATAGAAATATTATTAATGTATGTATATGTATATGTAGGTAACACAATTAGCTATAAGAAATATATAGAATTTTCTACTGAAGCTTTCACTAAACGTGAAATTAGCACGCTAATGAATACATAATTATAAATTATAACAATATAACATAAGTTTTTACAAAAAATGAATTTCTAAAATTTCCTCAAACAAAAAAGCAGACAAAAAACCACAACCCAAGTAGTTTCGTTAAGTTTTGTAATAGTTAATAAAGAAAAAAATTATTAACCAAAAAAATGTATGTAAATAAATATTTGCTACGGGGCTGTAAAGTTAAAACTCCACACCATCTGTGAGCTTTATATGTCGACGTAAGCGTCGAAAGTCGCAACGTCTGAAAAAATTAGTGGGGAGCTTTAACTTAAGAATTAACAAGCATGCGGCGTGAATTACAGCTGCCATGAGTGGGCGCGCCCAACGAAAGCGAAGGACGATGAGACCAACCGAGCAGTTATATTAGCTCTCTGAAGTAGTATATATGTAAACACTATCCCTATAATGACACGAAGGGCAATAGCGGGAAATACCGGGATAGGGATCACTTCTCATAGCAAAAGTTCCACCCATGCATTTGAAACTGAACACAGTGTAAAGTGTCCGAATTTTCTTCTTGTTGAGCTATTTTCTGAAATGGGGCGTTTTCGAAGCGGCTTCCGATTTAAATTGGCGCCCCTATTATGTTTTCCTGCATCAAATTGTAAAAGGGTTCCATTCAGGGACATACAATTATCGCAATTTTCGGGGATTTGCTTCGAGATCATTGCAAAATTATTTATTTTTTTGACGATTTTTATTTTTTTCGTCGACGAATAGCCGTCACTTTCACTTTTTTATCTTTTCGATAATGGATCCTTACTTTAGGAGTTTTTATTTTCCATCTAAGCGCCACCAAACAAAAACGTTGGACCAACCACAAACCCCACATAAAACTCCCAAACTGCAGGGACCGGATTTGGCCAAGGAGCCAGTGAATAGCTGTATTTACAGAAGGAATAAGGATAGACTGTGTTTTCCAGGCACTAAACTTTCCAATTAAGAATGCGATAAGGCACATATGTAAAATATCATGCACCTTCGATAACTGAGGTGATTTTTTTTTTTCTCAGAAAGCACGAAACTAATAGAGGACTGCAGAATGAAGGTCACCCAAATTTCTGATCGATTCGAAATTACCCTAATACGGGTCCTAGGGCGAAGGGACATTTATGGGAGTGATACAACATAAATGAGTCTCACGCGCTGAAAATAGTCGCATCCCCTACGGAAATCAAAAGTAATTTTACCGAGATTTGCAACTCGAAAACTATTAAAGAGAGGGTTTCTTTAGGAATTACCAAGAAAGCTTGAAAACAATTTAACACTTTCTCCGCGAGCGCTTGTTCATTGAGAGGGTGACACAGATCTTGGCTAAGCAATCATACATTACGGGCTGGTTTCTCCAACTCAACTTAACTTAGTTTAGCCAATTTTTTAGACTTAGTCAAGAATAAGCTGTGTAAAAAGTAGGCTAACTTTTGAATTAAGTCCAAAAAATGGCTAAACTAAATTAAGTTGAGTTGGAGAAACCAGCCCTATATGTATTTCAAAATACAGCCGCCTCTATTTTTATAGAGAAGTCACTAAGCACAATTTAATACATATCGTGCTGGTGCTGGGAGGAGTGCTCATATGGTTGGTATATAACCCTTCAGTGATTCTCATAGTTTGCAAGTTCGTCGGAGCTTTGATTCAATAAAGGTGCAAAACTTTAGCAATACAAAAGCCTTTCCATAACATATTTGAGTGCAATAAAAAGCATTCTTAGAAGTGATAGCTGCCAGTCTATCAATATACATGTTGCTACAATAGCCGTTTGAATTGAATACAAACATATCAGTTGCTTCTTTGCCTTCAGTCTTAGTTACTGGCTGAAACATTCTGCAATGATAAGGAAACAAGAAAGATCTGAGTCTGCAAGCTCTCACCCCTCTGCCTGCGGCGTTATGCCGTTCATTGTCAACAGATCTGCTTTTATTTTGCATTAAAAAAAAACTAAGTGCGCCTGGGCCACACTGGAGAAGTGAAACTTTCGTCACATATCTATTTTGTCTTTCTGCTTTGGCTTAAGGTTATATTTTCTGCCTTTTAACCCTGTTGGTTCTAATTACATTAATGTTATTCTGTTTTCCTATATCTAAATTTTTATTTTCATACTCTGCCGATAACAAAATCGACAGTAATATCAAAAAAAGTATCGATAACAAAATCGATGACAAATTCGATAAAAATTGCGATAGCAAAAGCGATAATAATATTGGTAGCAAAATTGATTTGAAAATCGATAAAAGTAGCGATAACAAAATCCACAACAAAATCCATAAATAATCGATAACAAAATCGACAAAAAATCGATAAATAATCGATAAAAATAACGATGATAAAATCAATAAATAATTACATAACAAAATCTATAAATAATCGAAAACAAAATCAATAAAAAATCCATAGCAAAATCGATAAATGAACGATAGCAAAATCGATAACAATACCGATAAAAATATCGATTATTACGTCGGTAAGTCCTAAGAATCTATAAAATCCCAAAATAGTTCCCAGATTGAGTCTGTGTCTACCTAAATTTATACTCTTGTATTTCTCTATACTCTATAATTACGATTATTTTAATCTTTCTTCCTCTATCTCAATCTTAACTCTTATCGGTATCCTCATCCTCATCCTTATCCTCATCTTTTTCTTTATATTATATTTATCTTTGTTTTTATTTTAATGTTTATTATTTTCTTCATCTGCATATTTCCCTTCACCTTTGCCCTTATATTCATAAGTAAAGTGTTTAAATTTACATTGGTCTCCATTTTTGCCTTTATCTTTACGCATCTTTGTTTTTGATTTTGTTTTTACCTTTACCTATATCCTTCTCTTTATTTATGTACGTATTAACCTTTACTTTCATTGTTGTATTGATCTTTTTCTAAGTGTTATTCTTTAACCTTTTTTTAGCAAATTTTTGTTAAATTAATACCATATGCATACACACAAGAAGCACTTGTTTCCGTTCCAACCATTTCCGTGTGCAATTTCCGTTGAATTTGCCAATTTACTCCCAACCAACCAACCGCCGCTAAAAAAGTTTCACTTCAACTATGTTCCTCTTATAAAATTGGGTTTTGTCTGCCTTTAGTACCCTCAACTAAATGTTAACTTATTAATAAGGACAATTAGAAATTGTACGCCGATGCGTATACTTAATTAAATTAGCATTGAGATCGTTCACCAAGGGCATAAGCATTAAATGTACGTCATAGTATGTACATATGTAAATCCATAGTAAATTTGTCAGAAATTGCATGTTTAATTACACATATACTTAAGTCTATCAGATAAGGTGCTTGGATATACAGACTACAAATTACCTACATACATCTGCATGCATACACTTTTGTTTGTCTTTAGCGAACTTAACATTATGTACATACATACAACGTATATGTCATACATTCATAAGTATATAGAATCGAAATAGCCACTTGCATGCACCCTTGCATATTATGCTCATAATGTGCATATTTCGTGCATATCTATATAAAATAGTATATGTATGTACATACATACATGCATACTGAAATAGCCGGCATGTCATTGTGGGATTGCATGCATTTATTAATTTTGATTTGCTGCCATACAACAAATGTGTCAACTCCTTCATGCCACACGCTAAGTAATGAATTTAAAAAATTATTATTATTAAGGCAAGCAAAGATGTAATTTAGTATGTACTTATGGGCAAACACGCAATAACAATAGCATTTTGTACCAATTAATTGTAATTGTGCTGTTATGCAATGCGAGTAACATGCCATGAACATTTAGGAACAATGGTCACTGTGGGAAATGTTAGTGCTTATGTATGCATGTATACACATATGTATAAGCATGTAGAGTTAATTGGTTAGAATGTTGGAAAAGGTGTTGAAAATTATGTTTAGCAAAAGTGAGATATTAACATAAGAACATACATATTTATGTAAACAAATGAGCACTTTAAGCAAGCAAGTCTACTGAAATGTAAAATAAGTTAAATGAGTGTATGTATATGTTTGTATGTATACGATTAATAAGTGGACTTTCTTATATGCGTTCAACGTTATTGTATACAAAGTAGGTATGTTAATCGCGGCATTGAGGGATCCCGGCCAGTTTAAGGTCCTAAAAATCCCGGGATACTTGGCAAATAATCCCGAGATTTACAGGATTTGTAATTTGCACTGATGGCAATAATAGAAACTCCTTTTCTTGACCAGTATTGGCTATATTCCTTTTTTATTTAATAATTAATATTTTTTCATATATATCTAACTCATACATATAACACCGCGCGATAGTATGTAAATTTTAAACACAAATATCAATTTATTCCCGAAACCATGGGCCAAATATAATAAAATTGCGTTTTTAGTTTGGGTATCAAATTTAAGAGAATTTAAACAGATTCGATTTTTTGTTGCAGAAGGACTGGTAAGTATTGAAAATGTCCTTTTAAAATTGTATCCTTGAAATTTCGCAATATTTGCTTTTGAATAAATTACATGTTAAGGACTCGATAATATCCTCGAATTTCGTCCTAACTTTATCTGCTTAAAAAATTTCCTATTCGTCCTTGTGAATCCAAAAAATGTATTTTTTTTTTAATTCCACAGAAATTTCCTCTTTCATTTGGTACCCATATTTTTATTCCACGCTAGCTGTACCTTGCCACGCTTTGCTGTGGCATATTCCTGTCACATGTATGATAAATGATTAACGAAACAAAGCATACTTGTGTGTAGGTACAGTATATTGGGTAATCCCTGGAAGATCAATCGAGTTCAAAAATTCCGTTGGATAATTTCCACAACGGTGTTTATCGACACACGT